CTGTGCTCAATGTAGTTAGACAGAAGTATATATTCATAAATATACATATACCTACGTTTGTAGTGCAACATAAAGTTTTATGTTTTTCCCAAATCGTCAGGCACGAACTGGTGAATGAAATACTTATTACGGTTGTTTTTTTTGTTTTTTTTGATACTATGTGATATGGGTGGAACGCTAAATTAAATTCAAAGATTCAAAACTCAAAGTTAATATGAACTTAGTATATCATTGGTGTGTAAATTCTAAATGTAGTGTGTAGGTAGTGGGGTTATTAGAAAAGAAAAAAAGAAGATGAAGCTTAAAGTTTACATAAGAAAAGAGGGACGCCGTGTCGTCGTTCGTAACACATTAACAGACGTTTATATGTTTAAGCGCAGTAATAAATATGTAACCTAAAATATGTAATTAGCATGTGATATTCAGATAAATGATCTCTGCAGAATTAAAATACTTTGGGAGAGTTTTTTTTTTTCACAGGTTGGATCGGTCACCGCGGCGGGAAAAGGGTGTAGATTTGGCGAATAATTTCCAATTTACTACCGGTGTATAGGCATTTTTTTAATATCCGAGTAAAATTTTGAGAGTTCCTCGGAATTTGCTTATTTCTTTTTGGTAAGAATCATTTTTATGGTGATAACATCGTGTTTTCCAGTGACTGGATGTGGAGCCAAAATAATTTTTTATGTCAACATTATGTTTAATGCTAGCTTTGTAGATGACGCCTTTATACATAAATTTATGATTTAGTGAACAGTTAATGTTTTTTCGGCAATTGCACATTTTTCTGTGTTAATATTGTTATTGAGGTAATTCAGCTATTTTTTATTGTGCTGTACTGTATGTTGCTCGAGGTGTTTTGTGCAGCTGTAACTAATCGTAATGTTGTTTTAATTGAAGGATTTGTTGAGCACTAGGATATGGTTGCAATGTTTGTGGATTAAATTTAGGAAAATTTTACCGATGTTGTTTTTGACAGTTAAATGGTGAGTTAACCCGAATTATGTTGTGTTTCCTATTCTTGTGCTTGTTGTTGGCCTTATCATTAATGTTTGAAATGTTTTCTAGTTTAATTATAGGTTTACTATTATATAGTGCAGCTACATATTTACGTATTTGTCAAAATAATTTTGTTGCTAGAGTTTGTTAAGAGTCTGCGTTGTACAGATTTGTGCAAGTTATTTAAAATTCCAGGTGGGTGGATTTGTTTCATTGCTAATGTCTTTTAAGGTTATAAATCTCTTTAGTATAAGACATGTGTCCTCCTTTGCATAGGTCGAAAGTAGTGTCCAGAAAAATGATCACCTTGGCATTGGTGTTAATGGTGATATTCTGTCTGTGATCCTTGAAGAATTCGATGTTTCCTAAATCGATCTGTTTGTTGTGGGTTGGTGTTAAGTAGGAAGATAACTCAGTCGTCTTCTTATAGACCAATGTTCTTGCTATCGAAAGTATAACTAAGTCTCGACAGTAGCAGAATGCCAACCAATTCACATTTTCCACAGAATCGAACGCTCTTATTGCCATAGAGATATTTGGATTGTCTTTTTTGATCCCCATAGAACCATCATGATATAGAATGTGTTTCTGGGCTTGATTAATGATGTTAATTTCATAGTCGGTGATTGTGTAATAATTCTTGGTCAGGGTTATAGCAGCCATTAACAGATCTTCTATGATCAATGAGTAGAAAATGGCGATGTTGGCATGAAGGTACATTCGTTTTTATTTTTTATATTAGAGAACCAATTGATAGCATCTTTTATATTAGAGAACCAATTGATAGCATCTTCAATTGGTTAACCCCTGTGCCATTCCTAGTGTATTTGCCCTAGTATAGCCTTTCTGATTTTGCCTATATTATTCTTGGAAGGTTAAGCAATCGAAACGGCGAGTGGCTGGGGACTGGAGAATTAATTGCAATAATTGAAATAATGAAATCTGCGGACTATATCAAAATTCTGGATGGAAATTTACAACTGTCAGTGCAAAATCTTCAGCTAGGTTAGCGATTTACTTTCCAGCAAGATAATGATCCCAAACATATGTCTAAATCAGTGGCTGCGTGGTTTCATAAAAAGAAGATTACAGTTCTGCCATGGACTTCAGTGAGCCATGACTTGAATCCTATTGAAAAATCTATGGCAAGAATTGAACGTTCAAATAAATCGTCGGTCATTGAAGAATGGAAGACAATCTCAGTAAAGACTTGTTCAAATCTCATGAAAAACTTTAGAAAACGATTGAAACAAGTTATAAAGATGAGAGACCATACTATAGACTATTAATATTGTGAAAAATGTTCAACTTTTTCTATTTTTCATTCTGTACGAATAATTTTGTCATTTCCAATTTTGGACAATTCGCCTGTCAAATTTACTGCATTTAACTTATTATTCTGAAAAATGAGTTTTATATTCATATTTTGGACTTATTAATGCACAAGATATAATGACCTAGCATCATACGGGCATTAGATTCTAAGAAAAGGATAAAAATATTCAAAATTGATGTGTGTACGACTAATTTAGTCATTGACTATATATATATAATTTTTCATATATCAACAACAATTTAGGCGGAAATATTTATGACAAAGAAAAAAATTACTAAAGAAAACGCGTCACACGAAAACATTTCCACTTTGTCATATACATATATATATTCCACTGGTTCCCCGACTACTATATATATATATATATATATATATATATATATATATATATATATATATATATATATATATTAAATATATACATATATATATAATATATATATATATATTCATTTATTTATTTATTCATAGGTGTGTGGGGGAGAGTGCGTGCGTGCGTCCGTAGAAGGGAGCTTCACAGGCGGGAAGTGCTAGAAAAGAATATGTTGGAATAGTAGTGTTGGTTGCATTTATCTACTTCAACGGTAAACATTTAGGACCTAGATGCCAATCTAGTAACACACTTGAATTCATGTAGTCGGGGAACCAGAGGAAAAAGAATACCAGACCAGTTGCCATGAAAATATTTGTAGAAAAGACAGAGTGAAGCCACTGAAAAAAATGACTGAAGTCGAAGTGCCAGATCAGGATCGATTACATTACAGACGATTCTTTGGATTTTGTCAAGAATCTCGAGATGTATAGCAGGAACACAAGACCAGATATGGCAGGAGGATTCAATGCACGGACGAATTGTTGATTTGTAAATGTACAAGATGGATTATGACTACAAAAAGTTTGTCACACGACACAGTGATCCAATGTTTTTTAGTAGATGCATTGATTCGATGCATTCGTTCCACTTCAAGTCAGTTTCAAACGTGAGATCAAGGCGCAATGTGTGTGCTCTCCAGAAGTCTAGTGTCAGCTATGCTGATGGCATGCAAGTTCTCTATGGTGTTAACTGAAAGCAGTTTTGTTTTAGAAAGCTTTAAAATTTACAACCGATTCCTGCCACAGTTAATCACTGATTGGAGGTCATTTTGAAGAGCAGTAGCCAGGTGTACTTTATCATAAAATATTATCAGTAGGTTTCTATCTCACATAGTTTGCACTGCACTAACGCACCGAGAAAAAATGATGAAGACATTCTGGTATTTCTACTGCAATTTTTCTTTTCATTTTATGTGCTGTGTCCCTTCAAGACTGTGCCGAGAAACTTCAGTAAGTTTGTGATCATGGCTCTCCACAGTTCCCTGTACTTTGTAGCTCTTAATAAATTTTTGCCATCTCTTCCGAACACTGATCCGCCAAACATTAGCTCAAGATCTCCTGATTATGCGTTGTTTTCTCTTGAACCTCTTACCGTCAATCTGTCCTGTTAGTATCAAATTTTGCAAGCCATATTTCCTCAATAATACCCCAAAGTCCAACCCTTACCTCACAGTCGGTGGGGGGTGTAAACGGTAGTGTCAGAGCTATGCCGTCCGGAACTTCGTTCCTGGTAGGGTCACCCAAGGCGGACAGGTCTGACACACACGCCGGCTAACAAGGGCTCTGGTGAAAATCCAAGGAGCGTCTGCATCGGTAACCGGCGGCTTCTGGTCGTTCCTGTCTCTGCGTCTGTGGGAACCCCGCGGCAAGCAAGAACGTTATCCGAGTAGGCCTGGGTACCCTACTTCTGTAATTTATCCCAAGAATCTTCTTCTCATAACAGGAAGAAGCCGGCTCAATCCGCCCAGGGTGAATGCCGCATCAGTACAGTACAGTAATAATACCCCAGAAATTTCAAGTGTCTTTTCCTGATGTTAAGTTTAAGTGACGCTTTGTTGCCATTGTTTCTAGAACTTCGTCATTGGCCACATTTGCTCTTAAATTCATAGAGTTTAGGAATCACAGAGGAAAGGTCATCAGAAAAGTTAGTATGAAAGTATTTATAGTAAAGGCAATGAGAAGCTTCCTCATCATGTGTCGCAAAAATAGCAACTTGTAAGCATAAGTGATCTTTCCATTTCTAGTTTCCTTAATCTTCTTCATTATTCACATGTTCTTTACTTGGGATTCTTATAATCTTTCCGTAGAAATATATTTTTATTGCTTGAAATTTCGCCTTCATATGTGAAGATATTTCCCGCAATCCGTGTTACATAGGAAAAAAAGTTATTATAAATCAGTTTAGCACTTTTCTAACGAAATTTTCCAAACTGGTAAGATTTTTTTTTAGATATTGGAAAGCAGCATTCACTCCAATGCACCTGCGCATCTCTGTGTCCCATTTTCCGTCGTCTGTTCCGATAATACTCAGATACTTAAACTTGTTTATCCGCATTATTCTGACGTCTCAAATTCGTAGCTCCCAATTCTTGTTGTATCTTTTTCTGAAGACCAGACATTTGTTTTTTTACATGAATAATAATTTTTCTTGCTTTTCTTTAGTACAATGTCTACTGGTGTGGTTTCCTGGATTTATTTACTTTTTGATGATAGGTATTCGTTATAGCCTCGAGTCAGTCCAAACTAAAGTCCGAATACAGTATCGAAGCAAAAATCAACTGTACATCCTTAGACAATATCGACATCTCTTTCTTTCTTTTCTTTCTTTCTTTCTTTCTTTCTTTCTTTCTTTCTTTCTTTCACTTACACGTGTTTACACGCATGCGTGTGTTAATGTGCGGAGAATTGTAAGATGTATTTATATATTAATAAAAGAAATGACGAGAGGAAAATATTTTATACTGACGCGTTTAGTTTCTTGAACTTCATAAAAGGTAAAGGTAGACATTTATTCAGAAATTAAATTTATGGACACATATAATTATATTTGAGAAAAGTTATGCATTCAAATTTAATTAGATAACATTTTAAAATATTCAAAAATATCTCGATGTTAAAGAAAATAGACTATATAAGACGCTAAGTGATGTCTATTTTCTAATGTGAATTAATATTTTGTTATTATTCTTAATATTAAGCCATAAGTTAACTATTTTGATGATCGTACATCAATAAATTAATTTGAGAAAGGAACATATCTTTTAAGAAGTGAGATATTTGAAAAAAATCCACAGCGCATATTTATGTTTGAGCTAATTTCTATTAATGCACTTTCGAGGACTTTTCGTCTTATTAACTTATTTTCTCTCTTAACAAGGATAGTTTTTTTTTTACATCGAAATTGTAGTTGAAATTATTTCTGTGTATGTATTTATGTTTATGAAGCGGTGCTCAACCCTCTCAATTTCTTAAATTCCGAACAAATGAAAAAACTGTAGGATTTTCTGAGAAGTACTTTTTTTGCTTGGAATGGTCGGGTAGTACGATGCTTAATACCGCAGAAACTGAAATTGCTGATTCCAGTTGAAATTCCGATCGATTCTGCTTCGTTCACTTCGCGTTAATGACATTGGAAAAGACAGGAATCCATCTCCCTCTAGCTATCTATTAGATATCCAGATAAACTGGGTTCTTTTGCCAAGTGTGGTAGCCAAAGACAACTCCGAATTCAAAAACAGCCTGAAGAATGAGGTCTGTAAGGCTATCTTACTTGGACAGGAACACTGATGCTTTGACAGCAGTATATGTGGTGCATATTCTTCTTCTTCAATGGCCGTGTTCTTTCAGAGCGATCATGGCTCTCCACAACTTCGTGTCCTTTGTATCTCTTCATAAGTTTTGTTCCTTTACAGTCTCCCTTCATTCCTTTTCTGCGAACTATTTGCACAAGCCTGTTAGGTTGGCTATTAGTTGCTTTCTTCGGTGCCTTTTGCCTTCAATATTTTAAATGAAGGTCAAATTCTCCAAGCCTTCTCTCCTCATTATGTGTCCTAGAAATTTAAATTCTATATTTATGATTCTACGTATAAATTTCCTTTTGTTGCAATTTTCTCTGAAATTTTGGTGTTGCTAACATGTTCAGTCCATAATATACTCAGGACACTAAATTGTTTAAACGGGACAGACAAGACTTTTTCACCGTTCTTTCTTTCTTTCTTTCTTTCTTTCTTTCTTTCTTTCTTTCTTTCTTTCTTTCTATCTGCATGAGTTTTTGCATGCGTTTGTGTGTTTGTGTATGTAGGGGACTTCAGCTGATGTGAATGTTTATGGTGATTCTTACAAAACTTTCTTTAGTACGGTAGATGACCAATTTTGGGGGTCTAGGTAAATTAAGTCTAGGTCTATGACAATCCGTCAAGAATAGAAGTTATACCTGCCAAAAAAACACCTAGCTTTCAAAATTTGCATTTTATCTGGATTCGAACACCAAACTCTGGTATTAAAAAGAAATGTATAACTGTTTTGTATTTTTATGTTTTTAAATATTTTTGTATATGACCCATTATTTGTGTGTGCTTTTGAATTTTAATCTAATTGGATATAGCCTAACTATTATCAGCGAGGAAAGGCGAATCGGTGAGTCGATTTCAAATTTCAGCCTAGTCTTCTGCGCCCAATTTCGCACTAATTCCATTGGGGATGGCGTGAATATGTTTTTCGCCCTCCCAGGTATGCATTAAATAGCAGGGTAGACTGGGTTCTCTAGCCTTGTGTAGCAGCCAGTTTAAGCGAATTCAAAACTGCAAAGACGGCAACGGGAAAACATTACATTCTTTCAAAGTAACCCTAGCCATACCCAGATAATAAAGAAACAGAAGGAGATGGTATTGAAATCATTTCTCTCTTTTGAAACAGCAGCCAATTGCATAAATCTTATAAAATAGACACTGGGAATTAAAAATAAAGACACAACCCGTTATTAAATGGCTTCAAAAAATAAAATAAAAGAGGGGTAACACAACTCAAATTTTATGATAAAAAACTTTGTTTCTCGGACTAAAAAATAAGTCGCAATTGAAAATAAAATATTATAACGATAAGTGATTTTTTTCCTTCTTTTTCGTTTAATTTAGTTATTACATGAATTATCAAGAAATAAACTCCCAAATGGATCAATAAATTTGATCAAATATTCTTTTAGGCAGGATCTAAAAATATAATTTCTAACATTTTTGCAGATACTTCTTGCATCAATCTATTTCAAAAGCTACAAAAGGATGCCGCACCAGCTTTCTCATTTTATAATTGATTCCTCGTTTGAGATCTAAAATAAATATTCCTACCTTTGACCAAAGAACAATAAACAGATATCTAATCAATTCTTATCACGTTTCTTTTAAAAAAAATAAAGTTTTATTTCATCAAAGGTAAGCTTTTAAAGAATAGAAAGCACTTTGAAAACTTTTCCTTGAGATCATATCCGTTTTATTAGTCTAATTCTTTTTCCAAATTTTCCTTTCATAAAAAAAATGGAATGAAAAGAAAAGTTTCCACCTCTTGATTGTTACAAGCCAGCAGAAGACACTCAAGAATTGAAAGAAAGCCAATAGAATGTATTTATGGCGCAGAGAGGAAATACAACACATGCAAATATGTAAAATATATTTACCTTCCCATGATGGAAAATGGTGACAGAAATTCATTTTTAAAGAGCCTTTGGCACATTATTGTATGCGAGGTATTTTATAGAAAGAGCCAATTTTCACAGGCATCTGGGTGTGTTTCCAATTCTCCCAGATTTCGTCCAATGGCGAGCCTCTGCCTTAGTGGCAGGTCCCCTGAACAAAGTTTTCAGCACAAGTTCTCAACAATCTAGCAAATTACAAGTCGACACAAAATGTCTTTCATGTATTCAAGAGACTGCTTCAATATTTCTGTTCCAGAATAAGACAACTCCTACTAATAAATGAAATACTTATAAAGTGAATGAATGGCACGCCTCACTTTCAGCACTTATAGAAATGATGAACAGATGTACGTTGTCATCGACATGACAACAACTATGATTTGAATATAAACGCAATTTAAAATAACAGGAATCCCTCGATTGATGCACACTCGATTAATGCGTTTTCGATTAGTAGACTAAAATATTTATATACCAACATTCAATTAGTGCATACATAATACTAGATTAGTGAGATAAAACATTCTTCAGTTTAACCGATTAATTAAAAATTTAAAAATGGAAAATGGGTAACTATTTTGTTTGCCAAGTATTACGTTATCTAAGTAATTAAAATAGTGTTGAATAATGGGCGGTTATAAATAGATACATTTTATAATTAAGCCGATAATAAAAATACCTATTTGAATATTTGTCTTTAATAATTTTTTCATGTTTATTTTGAAGGTCTTAAAAGGAAATTACTGATTTTTTGTAAAAAAAAATGGACGATTTAATTAGATATAGAATATGTTTATTAAAGATATCGAAATATAAAAGATATATACAGTTAATATAGAAAGATTATAAATAAAATTTCATATTAAAATACTAATGATTATGATATATTTGTAAACTTTAAAGGGACATTTTCTTACTAGACTCAATTATATGACGAACAGAAGAATACCATGCGGCAAACCACTCGAAATAAGTTTTTCATAAACAATCTGATTAATAAACATTAATTTATAGCATTTTTATTGTATATTCTTATATATACCTATATTTTAATTAAAAAGTACGTAAAACAGAAATTAATTGTGAATGAGACTAAAATTTGAGGTACAAATTACATCATTTCCTATAATATTCGATTAATGCGTTTTCGATTAGTGTATCTTTTAATGGGCACATTAGCCACATTAATGGAGAGATTCCTGTAGATGATTTTAATTTTTATCTCTGCTTTTTTCAAAAACGTATTTCAGCAGAAATATTCGTTACAAGTAACTCAATTTTGTTATATTTTTGCCTATTATCGGCGATATGTTTTTTGGCCTTCGTTTGTCGTGCTTGCTTGCATGCATTGTTTTATACGGCTTATTAACCATTTGTAGATTACTGGAAGACAAAAAATATTTTTAGACTATGAAAAATTTTTTTGAGGTAATAATGATTTACACTTAAACGGCCTACTAATTAACCCATAGTTGGGGGAGCGGTGAATCCATACTGTTCCCGCTAAGTTAATATAATGAACCAGACTGGAATTGGAACTCGGCTCTCCAATTAACAATTCAGAGCTGTTATTCATCATACCACACACGCATCCTAGCTTACAGTAGTAGGTATTTCCAAGCAGTCACACATCTCGATACTGGCAAGACTCGACGTTGCTTAATATCGGTGATCGTAAGAGAGCCGATGTTCCAACGTGATACAAGCCGTCAGCCTCCTCTGGTGTGCTTTGCATCCGGTAATCTCTAAAAGATTGATTGATTCGTTTTCTGCGACTTAACACCTTTTTGCAGGTTATTCAAAACCAGAAAATATTTTTAGATAGCACGAATTTTTTTCTTTTTTGCGGGGGTGGGTAATAATAGTTTAGTGATACAAGTCTTCGACGTTGTTTAAATTTGATGATTGTGATATGGATATTGAAGGATTGGAGATCAATAGACATAAGGTGGAAGATTGGAATCAGAATAAGTAAAAGAGGAGAAACTGAAAGAGAAAAGGCATGAAAATTCTTCTTTAATTTCTGTAGAGAGCAAAGAAGATATGGAAGATGAGATAAAACAGCAGAAAATTCTATCTACATAGAACATATTTAAGAATCTATTCTCGGTATTCTGAAGCCTGTTCTCAAATAGAGAAATGAACTGAAAATTGCTGACCCGAGAACTTCTATGTTGAAGACGTTGGCGATCATGGCTTTCCACAATTTTCTGTCGTTTGTAGCTCTTAATAAATTTTGTCTATTTGCTGTCTTTCCCAAACTCTGCACCAGCATCCTTGCACTCAAGCTCGCGGTTAGGTTATGTGTTGTTTTCTTCCGTTCATCTTACTTTCAATCTGTCTTGTGAGCATCACACTTTTCAAGCTCTCTTTCCTCATTATGTACCCCATAAATTTCAGCTGTCTCTTCCTGATGTTAACATTAAGTGACCTTTTTGTTGCAATTATCTCCAGAACTTGTCGTTGTCACAAGTCCGGAGAACTTCGCTTAAAATCATGGAGTCTGGATACCATAGAGGAATATTCATCAGAACAGCATGAAAGTATTTAGCCTCATTATGTCTCCTAGAAAATTCAACTCTCTCTTAAGTATAAATGTACTTTTTGTTTTCATTTTATCTAGAACTTTCTCGTTGCTCACATGTTCGGTCCATAGTATTTTCAGTATCCTTCTATAGAACCTCATTTCTTTGGTTCCAATCTCTTACACATCTGTGAGGAGATTGTCCGGCATTGACTGCAATATAGGAAGACAAATATCACGTAACAGTTCAGTACTCTTTTCTTTGTTTCTAGCCATATTTTTATGTTTCTTAATAATGAATTTAACTTTGGGAAGGCATCTTTCGCGATCACAATACGCTTTCGGATATCAGTGTCGCATTTTCCATCTATTAATAAGCTTCCCTACAGAAATACTATAAACACGCTTCATATATATTATACCGTAAGAGAAAGAAACGATGAAGCCACTTGAGAACGAAAAATTTTGCTGTTATGGATCATTGACCGCACACAGGGAATTAGAGATTATTCACGAAAACCAGAAATTGCAACAAAAAGTAAAAGTCTCAATAAAAATCTGGACCTTAAAAACTAAATAAAACAGAAAGTAAACACGAGAAGAATATAACTTAATGGCGAAATCAATGGGTAAGAATATAAAATGATATGATCAGGGTTGCGCAGTAAACACTTGAAAAGTGAAACGTAGTGGCAAGTAATAACAAATTACTACAAGTATATAAAAACGAAATATTGTGTTGTTTGTTTGCTTATTGCGTAGGAAGCTTAATAAACCTAATGGACTTTTTGGCCAACCCAATACATACGCCTATATATAGTCATGATGCAACATGATAATAAATGTCTCTGGGAAAATATATAATTAATGAAATTATCAAATTAAACCAGGCGGTGTAAAAAAAAAATAATAGAAAGAAGTAGAAATTGTTTGGAAACCATGATGCAGAAAATTAGTATAAGAACAAGAAAAATGTTTACGTAGCTTTGAAATTTAAGCAGATCACTTTCCTCAGGCTAGGAGATTGAAAAGAATCATCGTAAACAAAGAAAGGAA